ACCCCGCTATTTATTATGGCCGTTTCTCAGCACATAGATTTTTGTTGTTCAGGTGCGAAGTTCTTGAGTTAAATAATTGACTGGTGCTCCGTACATTCATGGCCAGGATACTAATTTAGCACTATGCAAATCAGCCGTCAACCCTTTCTATAAATATAGGAATACAGTAAGGATTGGAAAATGGATGAAAATATTTACGGCCAAAGTCGGCGACGGGCATCCACCTTGCGCTCGGTAGTAGCATCCCATCGCGGCGGCATACATGAACTCGCATTTCTATATCGATCTGTCAGCTCAGCTCTTCCGTGATGAGACAACTTCTTCTGTGGCAATCACAATCTATCTCAGCGTTTCTACTCTTGTTTGTGCTTTTTCTCTTGACTCTGTCCGACCTTCGCCAAACTCATTCTCCAGCTGCCCGCAGGATCTCTAGAAAAGTCCACTCACCTCTGCAGTCGACAAGAGATCATTTGGCACAATCGGTTTTGGGCACTCGCACGCCAGCTTGAACGTAGGTGTTGGCTCCTTATGCGGGTTATGACGTCCAGACCTCGTGGCATTCACTGGGTGGGTACCGTTAGTACCATTCGGTGCGAGGGCGGCTCCAGTAGTTTGCGCAGGGACAGCGGTAGGTTCTGCCCATGGGAACGGTGAGGCGGTAGCTATGGCCCCGAAGGCGAGAGTAATGAATGGGACCTTCATCGTGAGTGATACTTGTCAGAGGTCGACTTGGACGTCAAGAGAGGAGAAGATATAAACGTTGGATATAGGACTGGCGTTGACGGTCGCTGCAAAACTTTTTGAAGATCAACAAAACACGATCGTCGCACAAAAGAACCAAGATCAAAACCAAGAAGATCACAATACAAGCCTCCTCGGCTTTAAAAGGTATGTATAACCCCAACATGCCAACCTGGTCCTGGCCGAATCACCAAGCAATTCATTCAGCCTCCATGCTCTCCCCACATTTCACCCGACACGCACCACAAACTCTGAACGTGGATTTACCGCGCGTCCTCATATGAGCATATAAAATTCCCATATGGTGTTGGTGAGACCCTGTGCGGCTAGCATATCCGGATAAAAGCGTTATACCCAAATGATACCCTCTTGGCTATACGTATGGTGTTGATTGGTGTATTGGTCGCTTAACAGGTGGAAGGCTAACGTTCTCTGGAAAAGCATTCCTGTAGAGGCTATAAATCCGCGACGTCCGTTATGAAGAAGAATTACGAACGACGCAAACCCGTCTCGGGCACCATGGAATGACTTTTAAAGATCCGGGCGCACCAATGTCGAGTTGTTAAGGCTCAGAGCAGCTCTGCGTAACGCAACATGATTCGTTATTGCCGCTCCGTAGGTCCGTTCGTTAGAAGTGAATGGGCAGAGATCTGATCGGCCTTTTTAGTACCGAAATATTCTATTTTGGGCTCGCTTGGGTGGTGAAGAGGGGAGAGAAGTGCCGAGGATAGTATTCAGTATATTGTGAAGTAGTGAACGTAACGCCGACCTCGCTGGTTTATCTCACAGCTGATGAGGTTGCAGAATACGATATGAACATAGCATGATCGCTGCCCTTGCATTGCCGTGGAGGAATGCTGACCTTGGACTGGAGCTTAAGGCACACAGGCCCAACTATACAGACGAAAACCATGCTTTCGAGCCCAACTAGAACGATCAACGCTGATCGCATACACTCATGGGCTACCGAGACTTAGCCCATTGTGTGAGTACATGGATGTGGAAGACAGTTGATGAGTGGAGGAGTATTTGAACGAACATAACTGCCGTTTGTTGATCTCCCGCTCGGAGGATTGAAGTTTGGTTAACAGCTGGTCCAAGTCTAGCATGAAAAAAAAAAAGGTCTTATTATCAGACGTCATTGATCATGACCGATTGATGAAGTTCCTATGAGTACTTATTCCAAGGAAAATTGGGAGATATGAATCGTTCGATACCGAACCTCGTTCGGCGTCCCGCGCTGGGAGGTATGTGCGTGAAGATGAAGTCTGCAAAGTCACTCAGTGAAAGGTTGCGATACCCACATCTGGAACGCGATCAACACACCCTGTGTGTAAAGAGCCCATCAAATTTGCGAAGTTATGCACCGCATCTCTGGAAAGCAACCTGGTATAAAGAAGAACAATGGCGTCTTTGGACTTTCACCTGACTGTGAACCTCTCAAATTTCGGTTGGGTGACATCACTGATCCAAAACATACTGGACCAGCAACAGTACAAAAGTGGGTTATTTGAAAGTCCAGTGTACCGCCCCCTTCAGGCAGTGCATTCGCTCAACCTTCCAGTCTAATGTCGATTAGTGATATATTGAAAAAAAGCTGCAAACGGAAAAGAGGAAATCGGAGATCTTCAATTCTAAAGCTTGATCACAGGCTTGTTCATTTAAGCCATGACGATCGCTATTTCCTCAGAGCAGTGAAGTATTAGGTTTGAATCAAAGGCTATGTCTACGATGACTTGGTACCGAGCGGAAACCCGGTCGGCGATCGGCGGACCTTTGGAGAGCCCTTGGTGAAAAGAGCCTTGATGCTTGTTGAGAAGCGGATCAGTGCCGCAGGGCAGTTCATTGCTCGTTGAAGGTGGCCTGATGTGGAGAGGGTTGAGTGGACGCGGTGATGCTAATTCTTTGCCAACTGCATCATACGGCCCGTTCCCGGGTTTGCCATCTACCTGGAAGGTGGCGAGAAATTACCACCAAATACGAGCTCCCCATATCGAACTCCTATAGTAGTACTAAGTATTCATTCAAAGCTTCATGGCCCAACTTCAAAGTACATACAGGGGAGAACTCCATCCTCCCAAGCCATCGTATGTTCACAGTCTTCCTACGATCCAAACTTTACTCTGACACTAAGAACATTTACACATCCTCGTAGGGCATGGCATTATCCAATGCCCATTGCCTAACCTGCTCGAAGTTCCTGCACACATGATGAGACTCATAATCCGGCCAAGGACCTTCACGTCCCGGCATCTCATGGAACGTGAAGACATTCACATCAGCAAAGCACATGAGATTCATTCTCAGGATCTCGATGCAGTGGTCTGTGGGAAAAGGCAGTTAGGAGCTCATTAATACGCCGCAGAAGGAAGAGAGAAGACAGGAAGGAAATGAATAGAGAGCGGCATACCAAGATGTCCTCTCACCCTCTCAGGCTTATCATTTGTATCGGACCACCATAGCTTGGTATAGTACTCCGGATACGTCGCCATTCGTAACAGATTCAGGCAATGCAGTTGATGGAACACTTCCAGGCCGACCCGGTACCCTTTCTCTCCAGTCTTTGGATCTGTTACCTTTAAAGAATCCAGCGGCTTTTGGAGTTTCTTGATGCCTTCATCAGTAACCATTTGGTCGGGAACTGGAGCGCCAGTTAGCTATGAGGATAGAGAAGGGGAAGGTAGAGAGACGCTTACGGTAAGTGATATCCATCCAAGCATTCTCAACGTCGTCCGTGATGCCCACGTATTTCGATGAGTTGAGGGGTTTGGGCATCTCGAATTTGACGTGCTCGTACTCTACCACGTGCATCGCAGGCGCTATCCCCTATCAGGTAATTGACCCTAAGTTAGAAATCATATGAAATACTCACAGTATATTCCAAACTGGTCCATTAACTTTGCGGCGGAGTGCGACGACGTCGAGCGCTGTGAGAAGACTGCGCAGACTAATATCATCGCCGACAGTGTGAATAGGAAGAGGTTGAAGAGCGTTAGCCACAGCATGCCTCTCTTAGTGCTCGATTCTTTGACATAGTGGCTGTTGAGGAAGGCGGTTTGTTCGCAGTCTTCTGACGAATTGGAATCATCTGTGTCGAGACATGCGGGCTGACATTTTGAGTCCATTGCGGAAGGCGGTGGAATCAAGAAGGATATACAAGTGGTCAAATAATGTACCCAAGAAGAGAATGAGACCTGGAAGATCGACTCGACCAGCGACAGGGGAAGAGAGGAGAAGATGGAGGTGCGCTCAACACTTGAAGCCCAATCGTGGAGCTGAGCAGACTGATGGCCTAGAATAAGGTGCCTTGGTAAGAAGACGACTTAAAGCTTAGACCATACGTCTCAGGCAACACAATGCCTTGCATATACAGCAAGCTATTCCATGATGCTTATAGCATAGTCCAACAGTATCAGGCTGCAGAGGAGGGCCGCGTTGGTCGTAATGAGGGAGGAGTGGCTGCGCATTTCAACATCGTTAAGCAATTTGAGCGATCCGTACTCACTAAACACCCCTCCAACGGCAACGTTAACCGCTATCGAGGTGTTTGCCACAATCCCAGCGGGAAAGTGGACGGTCGTGGTTGGTTCGCGGGGACGTTTTGGTTTGGACTTTGGTTTTAGGCGATGTCTTGGAACTGGATTGCTTCACCACTGTTTTATCTTGGCGATCTAACGGACAGGGGTTAGACACTGAGATGTGACACTCTGGTGGTGCATGTTTTACAGTCTCTACCTTCTCTCAACGTCAAAAACTACGCGTTCGTGTGGAATCCCCTCGGTCCGTGGCAGGGCGGCATTTTCGAGACCGTGGCGCAGCCTATACCGGACAGCTGCGACAACGAAGCATTGTTTCACTATGTTTTGCGCCTTCCCAGGAAAGAATCGAGATGCCAGCGAGCGAAAACCTGCCATTGGTGGGCCCGAATCCGGAGCTGGGAATCATAGTGTATACTTTGTAGCCTCATCCGCTTTAACCGTCCGAGGGCGCACACTCACCCAATCCAGTCTACTTGCGGACGTCATGTATTTGCACCTCGATACATTGTATGTTCCCCCTCGGAACACGAGACAGCATCTGTGCTAGACTCAAGTGCCGTAGTACTGTCATGTGGGTATCTTCATAGCCTCTGCGTCGTGCTCGTCAATGCGAAAGCGAATCATCTACGGACCAATGGTCATGCCTGCTAAACGAATTGTATCTCCTGATATAAAGGTCAGACTCACGCGCCTTCATACCCAAGATTACAGTGCGTGGGTCGTTCTCAGTTCTTTTCTTTCAGCTTAATCCTTCGCATCCTAGTCGGTGGCCGGACCATCTTTTCCATTCGTTGTATATTTTTAATCTCGTATCACCTTTTCATACATACATCATGAGGTTCGCTGGCATTCTTCCCCTGCTAGCCCTCGGCGCTTCGGCCGCTGCCTACGTCGTCCAGGACAGACCATTTGACGCCGTCGAGGCTCGCGAGCCAGTAAGTTCAACTCTACCTTATTCTACTCATGTCGTAAACTGATATCTCGTTTAGGGAAGTGGTTCCTTGCTTGCCTCTTCGGCCATGAACACTCTTCGCCTTCGCGAAGCCGCTCCAGTTCCACACCACAAGGGCAAGGGCAAGGGCAAGGGCAAAGGACTCTTCAATAAACGTGATCCGGAGCCCATCGCTCTGCCAGAGCCCATCCCAGAGCCAGAGCCTGTTCCCGAGCCTCACCATAAGGGGAAGGGAGGCAAGGGAAAGGGACTTGGAGCACTCTTCGGGCGCGATCCGATGCCCCATCACAAGGGCAAGGGAAAGGGTGGGAAGGGAAAGGGACTCGGACAACTGTTCAACAAGCGTGAGCCAGAGCCGGTCGCCGTGCCAGAACCTATCGCTAAACCGGAGCCCGTCCCGGAGCCTCACCACAAGGGGAAGGGTGGAAAGGGCGGGAATGGAGGCAAAGGAAAGGGACTTGGAGCACTATTCGGCAAGCGTGAGCCAATGCCTCAGGGCAAGGGCGGCAAGGGAAAGTGAAAGGGTCTCTTCAACAAGGTTTAGACTGAGATTTGGAAGGGTATAGATGAGATTGGGACGTGGAGACGACGGGGAATTGAATGAAGAACTGAATCCAGAATATCCCTTACGGTGTGTATTAATTCCTCTTGGTTTGGCATGCTATGTGTCAAGAGGTCGCACTTAATGGGTTGTACAAATAAGCGAATTAGCGAATGACATGAACGGCTGAGGTCAAGCAACGTGCATATCGTAGTTCGGTGAAGAGGGCCCAGGCAATACGAAACATTCAGTACTACATTGTTTACCATCGCGAATGCGAGATCAGTTTTTGTAATTCATGTCTCGGGTCGAACTCCCCGCGTTCGAGCAGTGTTTCTAAACTATGTAGACAAGCGCTTGTCGGAGGTTCGTTGTCAAAGAACGTGGCAATAGGCGATGACCGATATCGGGAGGTTGGCGTATCCAGATACCTGTCTGGCCTTGCCGTATTGATGTTTGTAGACATGATTGTGTTGGGATGGAGAATGGTGTCGAAGGGATGAAGTTTGAAGTGAGGTTGAAGCGCTGAAATCATGGCCGTTTCAGAAGAGTGTTAACTACATTGAGATTTAGCGTGAAGATGGTCTTCCAAATGCGGTGCCTCTTAGGCTCCGTATTGGGAATCGAGCCTCTAGGATCCTTGTCTGCAGATCTTCGAAACTTGGGCGTTTACATCTTGATAAAACAGTAGATAATCGCTCTCATTGGAAAAAGAAAAAAAAATAAAAAAATAAAAAAATTAATTTAAATAAATAAAAAATAAATAAATTCGACTCATGTTTATCGCTACCCATTGGATCCTTCAATCTGTCATCTCTCCTTGACTTTTATCACAACTGGCTTCTCACGGCTGCGAATTCTCCGTCAGCAACCCTCCCGCATAGTTGTTTCAGGGTCTGCGCTGCCCATTCGAAATCCTCGATCTCCAAGTAGACTTGTGCACTCAGCCTCACCCACCAAGCATCCCCATAAAACATGAACGCCATGAACGTGCCAAAGCCATCAATCACCGCTCTGCTCATCCAATCCCTCACAACGGTTCCTACACTGTCTTGATCAATACCTGCTTTTAAGGCAATGGACTGTATCTCATCCAGAGACAGGGGAAGCTTGACATTTGACAAACAGCAATTCGTCAGTGTGCCAGTGGAGTTCTCGAGGACCTCTGTGCCGAGAATTTCGGCAGCACGCTTTGCAGCGTCCTTAGCCAGCTGATGGCAGTATGATTGAATGGTTTCTTCTCCGCCAATACTTTCCCTAAACTTGATAGCTTCAGGAATGCAGAGGTATGGAGCATTATCAATTGTACCCACGAACTCAAAGTTTATTACATAAGCCGATTTTGTACTTGCTGGAAGCGGGTTGTGATACTTGACGCCTGGTTTGGGAAATGGCGTGAAGCCATGGGAGGTTGGGAGTGTCGAGCGGAGCAGATGCTGATTGCGAAGGGGAACGTAGAAGATGGCGCAGCCACGCGGAACGAATAGCCATCTATCAGTATTAATGCCATGTCCCAAACCAAAACTACTACGCCTCAATGCCCTCAGAGGGAAGCGAAAAAAGGGGGTTGGACTCACTTGTGACAATTGCTCACCAAAAAATCAGGATCCAACCTCTCCAACTCCAAATTTACATGACCTGCCCCATGCGCCGCATCTACACAGCTGAGGACTCCCAGCTCCCGGCACGCTTCCGTTAGACGCTCGAACGGTACTCGGACCCCTGGCATGCTGACTACAGTGTCGAAAATTGCAACTTTAACATTGCATCCTTTCTCCTTCTCTTCGTGAACTTTGCGCTTGAATTCCTCTACAAGCCAGTCATCTTCAACAGGGTATGTATACTGGATCTTGACTGCTTCGGCGGGAGTTGTTTCTGTAATGTACGTTACAGTTTTCTCACATGCACCGTAGATGGTTGCAAAGTAGATGATCTTTTCCCTTGGCTTGAATATGAGGTTGCGGAGAACTGTGTTGATGCCCGTGGTAGCATTGGGGACGAATACGAGGGTCTCAACTGGGGCTTTGAGAACCTTTGACATTGCCGCCCGGGATTCATCTATCAGCTTGGGATACGTGTAGCGGATGAAATCATCGGGGCGAGCTTCGGCCTGGTCCTGGAACTTCCGCATGGCGGTCTGGACAACGCGAGGGTATGTGCCGAAAGAGCCTGGCGACGTTAAAATAAAAGCTTACGATCAAAGAAGAGGTGGATAATAAGGTCATATATGAGAATTGTTTGCTGGCCATGCAATATCTTTTGGATGTTTATCTGAATTCAGACGTATGAATATGAGACGATTCAGTAATAGAAGTGGTGCTGTAAGACGAAATCTCATGATATAGCAGAGAAGCATTGATTGAAGCGGTCTCACCATGATTGAGATTTAAATACTTCTCATCGAACAAAAACTCCTTCCTTAATTCCTTTCCAAACTTCAACTTGCCCCCATATGCTCTATCAGCGTTCCCCAGCACCGCGAGCGATTTTGATGTCATGACTCCACCAAATTTCTCGAAGCAATGTTTGAAATTGACAGGAACAATTCTCGGTGGAGGACCTATGAAGGTCCCTATATATGTAGTCAGAAATGAGTCAATTGCGGAGAAAATGCGACATCGGAAAGCCTTGCATACGGTATCTATCAAAGGGCGTGTTGAATTGGCCAATCAAAACGCAGCGGGCGTAAGCGGCTAGAAGCGGCAGGCATGGACCTTCCAGCTGTTTCAGGATGTGTTCCTCCGCTGTTACTCATACTTCTCAAGAAACATAACGTTAATGTTCAGAGAATCTTGGTATTGATATCTACCTACTCTACGGACGTTAATCTCTCCTCCTTCCAACATTCAATTTAAAAAGGTCCATCGCCAGGATGAGAAAAGTCGAGGAGGTCCTTAGACAGCCCCTCGTAATTAGGATACAGTGAAACGAATTGTAAAATCGAAACCTTCATGCAAATCCATTTATCATCTAAAAGGAAAGAACAAATGCAGGGAAGTAACTACACAACTTTCATATGGTCCGCATTCCATTAGCCATTTCACGCTTCATCCGCCTCCTGTATTGCTCTCGGAACTGTATTCGGCCAACAGTACCAAGTCCGACGGCAGCGAAGAAGCCTGCTGTCCATACACAGGTGATTACAAGACCTGTTGGGAAGAATGCGAGGGTCGTACCGGGAAGTACGAATGGCGCAGCCTTGGCGGCGGCGGCGGAGGCTGAGGCCTTTGCGGAGGGGTCATTCGTGGTCGTGGCCTGTTGTGCGAAAACTCCATTTACGAATGAAGCCTCTTGGGAAGAAAGAGTCATGGTGACTTGTTCGCCGGACGGTGATGTTGCGGCGAGTTGGATCTCCGGCACAAGGAGTGGTTGCAGTGTAGCTCTGTTCCTGATTAGTCATACTCCACATCCCACTGATCTACACACTTACTGTGTCATAGCAGTGCCCATCAAGTTACTGTTGATCTTTCCGACATAGTTGAGAACCTTCAACTCTGTGGGCGGCGCTGGTGATGATCCAGAGTTCTGCCTCTCGACTAGTAGGCCGTCCACCTCTCTCGCGCGAAGTGGGGGCCATGTGATCTCGTCCCTCTTCATGAACGTTCCATTCATACTTTGCACCGTAGCGCCCCGGTAAGACAAAGTCATGCTTATATCAGCAGCAGTTATTCCCACCCAAGGGTTAATCGGGGCGGATACGTTGTACATTCGGAGTTCTGCCTGGAAGACGCCGGTCTGGTTGTCGAGGAAAGGAAGATTGTAGCACACTGCTATGCCTGAGGGGTTCGATGCTTGACCGTTGAGTGACATCAAGGCGTTTTGGCAGGCTTCTTGTGTTTGTGTCTCCCATTTTGCCAGATCTGCCTTCGCTGCATCGCCAGATTGTGGTGTTATCGAGATTTGGGGTGCTGGAGCAGCAGCATTGGGATCTTGCCGCCGGGTGAGTGTTGCTACCATGGAATCTGCATCGCGTAGAAGTCGATCCTCGAGGTCCTCGGTGCGTTGGAAGAGTGAGTTAACTTTTGCTGAAGCTTGTCCGGCGACGAGGAGCCCGCCCAGCAGGGCAGCCTGGAAGAACATGGCAAAGAGAAGGAGTATTAGGTATGTTCTGTTATATTAAAGATGTCTAAATGTAGGGAATGAAGGTCAACCGGGCTGCACAGCAGCGGTGAGAAATGAGGGTGACGAGAAGAGAAGAGATATTGAGAAAGAAACAAAGAGTGAGGGAAAGTCAACGACAACTCAGGAGAAGCCGGTCCTGCAGGGAAGTCATTAGCAGAAAACGTGGACGGCGAGGGTGCCCGGCGGATTAAGAAAAGTGGCTATGGCAATGGAACGAGGCAGAGGTTACGACGCCGCAGTCGTTCGACGTCCGAAGCGTCCGACAGTAGACTCAAGATGGCGTGACTTTGAGAGGCTGTCCAGACTGAAGGGGCAGCACCAAGCCCGCATGTCAGTGTTGAGACCCGTTATGAATGATGCTGAGACAATGTGGTAGATGAGCCGTCATGCGCCGAACTGCCCAGATTTGCCAGTCGATGCTAAGATTAAGCTTAGATGGGTAAATTGAGGACTAATTTCTTAGAAGAGAGTTAGATTCTAGCAAGCTTTCCACTAGAAGGGGTTATTTTGAGGGGTTGGGCACAGAGCAGGCATGAAGGTGGAGAGCTCCTTGATACAACTGAGGTTTGGTTGGTGTTGAGGCTCGACGGCCGAGACGCACAGCGCTTCATGATGGCCCGTGGTTCGGCAACGCAGCCAGTCAGTGGTTCGCATCCTATGCAAGTGCCGACAGCCTGTATCCTCATATCCAGCCAACAGGTTTCATCGCCCTTTCTTTTTGCCTCGTCTTGCTCTTGAGCCTCGTCGCAACACTCTCAATTCACTGGCCGCCTGAGTCGTAAAGAATAGATCCCGTGACCAAGATCCATAAGAACTCGAAAGATAGCTCGGCTCGCGTACCGAGACATCCAAAAGACCAGAGATCTGCTCTTGGATCCGGTTGCTGTGGGCGTAACGCTCGGAGCGAATGTTCCGCGCAGAAACGCTCGTTTACAGCGAACACCTCTAGCCTACTAAATGTCTGCACTTCTTTCTATGTTCGAGTCATGATGACCCAATGCGAGAGAACCAGGTCAGATTCGCAGAAATACTTTGTTCCTCGCGATGCGTGTGCTGCCCAGAAGTTA